TGGTGGGTGGGTGGGTTTGAGTGAGTGGTTGGTTGGTTGGTGGGTGAGTGAGTGAGTGTGTTGGGTTGGGTGAGTGTTGGTTGGTAGGTGGGTTACAGAAATCAAAAACTATCAACTGTACCCAGCAATAAAGCCAAACACTCTAGAATCATGAAGGTAATCGCTTGGTTGGTTGGTGGGTGGGTTGGTTTGTTGGGTGAGTGAGTGTTTGGTTGATTGGTGGGTGGATGGGTTGGGTGAGTGGTTGGTTGGTAGGTGAGTTGGGTGAGTGTTGGTTGGTTGGTAGTTGGGTTGGTTGTTTGGTTGGTTGTTTGGTTGTTTGGTTGTTTGGTTGGTTGGTTGGTTGGTTGGTTGGTTGGTTGGTCATGGTTGGTTGGTTGGGTGAGTGGTTGGTTGGTTGGTGGGTTGGGTGAGTGGTTGGTTGTTAGGTGGGTTGGGTGAGTAGTTGGTTGGTAGGTGGGTTGGGTGAGTGATTGGTTGGTTGGTGGGTTGAGTGAGTGGTTGGTTGGTTGGTGGGTTGGGTGAGTGGTTGGTTGGTAGGTGGATTTTGTGAGTAGTTGGTTGTTAGGTGGGTTGGGTGAGTGGTTGGTTGTTAGGTGGGTTGGGTGAGTGGTTGGTTGGTAGGTGGGTTGGGTGAGTGGTTGGTTGTTAGGTGGATTTTGTGAGTAGTTGGTTGGTAGGTGGGTTGGGTGAGTGGTTGGTTGGTTGGTGAGTTCGTAGTTAATAAATAGTGAGATATGTAATCTCACTTTAACGTGTTTATATAACAGACGACGCCTGGTACAAGCGCTATTGTGAACGTTAACAGTGTTCTGTCAGCTAATGACAAAGGGGATAGTGGCAAAGTCGTTATCACAGCTATCGTCACTGTTGGCGYCATAGTCTGTGTGTTGATYATCTGTGTATCTGCGTGGGTTATTGTGCGATATYATCGAAGAACAAGGTAATTCAAAACCTACCAATGAAAAATAATAATTCCCCCTTATTTAAMAAAAWGCTGTAACTARCATACGTACGCGCTGTCACTATACACTGAAGTGAGAAGTGCTAATTTCTTCTCCTAAACTCCAATGCAATCCTACAAAGAGGTAATGTCATGGTTCTACCTACAGGRGACAAGATGATACAAGCGTTCCAAGAGATCTTGGCAAGTATTCGTCATGACRTTCTTGAGGAAAATTATAGAAGGGTATTTTAGATTAATTGCTTGACTTGTTTTGTTTGCAGTAGTGGAAAATGGAAGCACAAGTGATCAAGTATGTTATATTATCCATGTTTTCGGTTTTATTATTTYATYCATTCAATTCCACCCACTTTCCATCCATACATCTATATTGCCAGTCGGCGCTTGTACGTCTCTTGAGACTGTTAGATGGTGAACTCTCGAGTGCGGACACCGTCTTTCATTCGAGGTGCACATCCACTGTTCAACAGTGCTTGCTTCATCTACATCATAAAGGGTAYCAATACCACACACTTGTCTTGCTGATTTTTTGAGAAAGGAACGTTAAATAGATAACAACTCATCAAGCACACTCAATGTACTCGCTAGAAATGCCACCATCCATCTAAATCACTTCATTCTGAAATTCCTAGTATACACTCTTAACTGGTTTCTCAKTGATACRATTTCATTTTGTTGAAGGGTGTCATCGCGATGTCGAATGTTCCTGTTACATCTGAACCGGTTTACAGTGAACTCCCGGATGTTGTTGAGTCAGCTAATTGCGTTAAACGTTTCTTTCCTAGCAGTAAGTGGTATAAMTCTAGTATTTCCAGTTATTCTATATTRCAGACACCTCTATATCATGGTTGAACCGATAATCTTTGTTCTATTTTCCAGCAACATCACTCAATACAATMACTGAAGAATCGTGTATTGTAAGGAATCCAGCTGTCTAYAACACGATGCCTAAAGCYCGTAAAAATACTGATCCACTTCCGGTAATTCCTCCACAARTCAGACCCAGGACCCCGGAACTTCGCAGCTCTTTCYTAGTCAACGCATGCGCCGATAACACAAAAACAGCAAAATTTCTCGATGACATGAATCGAAGAGGTTGTATGTCTCTGAACCGCAATGTCCAGTGTAGAGTAAAAAGAGAAAGAAGCTCAACAAATGTGGATATGTTAGACGATGTGTTCTTTGGAGATATTTGGTCAAAACCAGAAGACCATGCAGAAGACGATGGCGATGACGATAATGTCGAAGAACGTGATGAAAGGCATCGGTCGGAGTCATTTTACCAACAGCTTCATTCTAACCCTGGAAGCAAGGGGTCTTTGTACGAGTCTCTGCATGAAGCTACTAAAGAGGTATGACACGCCTGTGCTAGGTGATTAATAGGAAATTGAACGAGGGAGAGAAAAAAAGAAAAGCGAATGGAAGACAAAAAGAAAGAGAACAATGAAGAGAGGCCAATGGAAAGTAGGAGAGAGATTTTAAAAGTAAGAAAGGAGGAAGGAAAGAAAGGAGGAAGGAATAAAGGAGGGAGGGAGGTGGAAGAAAAGACGCCTAGGAAAGTTGATTGCCTTAATTGTTTAAATAGAGGTTAACTAGTCTGATTTGATGAAACAACCATTTTGTTTTGTAGTCTCCAAAAACGCGTTTTTCAACACTTGAAAGGATAAAGAATAAATCAAACCATGAAAACTTTGGTTTGAGCTTACAAAATAAGTCAGGTATCTTATCCAGCCTTCGTTTCTAATAATGACAAGTAAGGTATATTATCAGTGTGTTTTTAATTTGTTTTTAGATCGAGAATCGTCCAATCAGGATGACATATCACTAGCTGGTTCATCAGTTTCCATTGATGGAGACTGGGGCGAGCTACCCGAGTACCATACACTTGAGGGCCCCGAGGAACCCAACGATAATCAAGGACAAGTGAGATTGTTTGCGGAAAGGGACATTTTGGAACTATCTGGAACATTACTTTTTCTAAAGCGCTCCTTTTCTGAAGGGGACATTATGAAAGCCTGCAGAAAGGAGATTTCTTTACGAGGGTCGTTTTCTGAACGATACATTGCGAAACCCTAAAGAGAGTCGAAAGCTTGAAGAGAAAAAAATTCCGTGATAAACTCCTTTTCTGAACGGAACATTACGAAATTCTGTAAAAAGAAACCTTCGTTTACAAGGGTCCACTTCTGAAAAGGACATAACAAAAGTCATCAGAAAACTGCTCAAAAGTGTTTGTAAGTCAAGATTGAATGACGTTTTACCTATATAGACAAGGAAAGACTTACAGAACACGATGCACACAGATGTTATAGATAAGCAATGACTGTACGTATACTGAATATTCTGTATATTTATTCATAATCAAGTCGGATGATCTTAAATAGATCGTAAGAGAAATCGATCAGCATGACCGCTGAATCTACAAAATGACAAAAGTTTGTATATCATACATATCATATCCCAGAATGCAACAGGGTCGCATTCTTCTAACTTTGTGGATCCGACATCCACTGGAAAAAAACAAAGTATGTAAAGTTACAGTTACCCTGAATTTAGTTTACACTATATACTTGCAGGAAATTTACAGAGTATATATACTGATAAGTATCATTCCAGTGAAATAAAGAAAATATATCGGTCGACAATCGTATTGAGTGGACTCGTCCTTGCTTGCAGTCTATCGACATCACAGAACCCCTTTAAGAATCTTAATAAATCCCTCGGCTGATAAATCAAACAGAAATGTAACTCCGTATAAAATCGATGTGAAAGTAGTCGGCAATTATCAACGAGCTAATCTATACAAAGCCGTCTTTTATATACAAACATATACTAAAATTAAAAAGCGGCAATGCATCTTGGAGGAACGAGGGTGAGATGTTCTACGGCACAGTGGACAAGATACATTTTTGCACAGTTTTTGATGATTGATAGCGCCTTTCAGTTGTACTTTCAAAAGCTATATTTCTTTCTTCTTAATAATATAATCTGGGACATCAAATGCAGGTGGATCATTTATCCGTCAAGCTGCAACTGTTAATTACAGCATTAGTGTTTATATTTAAAGTTTGTAATGGCACTTAGGTTAAATTTGAAATGTACACAGACCTTCAACATATATGAGATGAACTCCCTCGCAGTTCTCTTATACAAGAACCTATGGCTGCTTTTTTTGATGGATAATAAAACGCATAAATTTACTCGAGAATAACGGCTTCAAACTGTGGTAAAGACAACAGAAAGAAATATTGATGTCAATAGAGTACAGTTGATGATGTATTTTTGAACTTCATGTGAACTTCACGAAAGTCCTTTTAGTTTCCGGCACAAACGGTCCGCGCTGTTGACCAAAAAGAGACGGCCGACTTGTAGYAATTCTTAACTTCATCCAATATATTTGATTGCTCATTGAATCCCACATCATCGATGAAATGACAACACTTTAAACTCGCGCAAATATACCTCTACCTTTGCGATAAGCATGATATATGTACTCAAATAGCATAGTATGTACATGTCTTGTGACTATTAAAGATTGTCTTATATTTTGTCGCGATTTTTCATTGTAGTATTGTGTAATTTTGTAGTATTCATTCCATCTGTGGGATTGCATGCCTCTTGGTGAATATCTTCCATAGAATTGTGTACATAATCGTTAAATTTTAGAAATATTGTTTCTCATGGTTTGCCTTCTGAAACGTACATTTTATTGAATTGGCATTTTATTAATGCGGGGCAATTTCGATTATTTGCCAAATATCGATATTCGGATCATTTCATTGGCTGATGGCCGCAGKAATGTGCTCAATTGCAATGAAGATTGTCATAAGGTTGATTATAAAAGTATAGTCTCGTTAGAATCGCCGTGAATCGTTGACTATCTCATGAAAGCAGTAGCGCTCACCAAGGTAAGGTTGCTGTCAGCTTGTTTGGCGTTCATGCTTACCCAGAGTTTATTACACGAATTTACGTCTAACATTGCCATGTCAGTCCAGACATTATCGGCCTGTTGCTGTCTCTTCTCATACCCTCAGGTTTATTCTTTGAAATGCGTGTATACAAAAGTTTGCTCCGACTTTTCCAGCCTGAATGGCTGTAAATATATAGGGTGGCATTCGCCATACTGGAGTTGGAACTTAAAATGTAGCAGAAAACTGAAAGAAAATCTTTGAAGGAAAGGAAAGATGAAAGGAAAGAAGTAGAGTTTTTTCATGCTGTTGCTATAGTATCATTATAGTGTGAAACTCTTTTTACTGGCAGCTTGTTTATCTTCCTGTCGTCATGGAAACTAAACAAATTTATGCGCTAATGCTGATGGGAATGATGACCATATATGGAGCAGTAGCTAATTATGAAGGCAAAAGAAGTATGAATGTTTGTTTCATAATTGTATTCCATCAGATTCATATATCTAACTCTTCCCGTTTGATCTTTGTTTGTTATACTTAGAGTGGCGTGCTCTGGGCTGTTACCATAAYAATGAGGACCGCCCTTATTTGAAACACTTTCTYGGATACGCCAATCACACTGGCTCTCTTGCCAAAATATTTAAAGATTGTAAGTTAAAGGCACAAGCACGAAAATTCGACTACTTTGGAATCCAAAATAGAAATGAATGTTGGGGATCTTGTCGTCGTGCCTACGACTCTTGCTCTGGAGACTGTATCAGTAGAGCAAGTAARCGAATTCGGTTCGGTGTGGGGCTGAATAAGCGGACAAGCTTTGTGTATTACAAAAAAGCAGGTACTTGATATCGTACAGCCATTCCTTRATTCTTATTCTCATTAGTAACACAYTCTGTGAACATGTGTAAACAATATTTAGTTCAAACCAATGGTATAGCATTGTGTTGTGTTTTTCTGTTGAATTCAGGGTGGACATTTTGTATTTGTGGAGAAACTAAACGTCAGTACAGACAGACCTTASAGCGTGATAGAGATCACAACTGTCCAAACTACAACAAAAAGGTTGTTCAAAGAAAATATAAATCCAGAGAATGCTGTCAAGGTTTGTCATGATCCATTGTATCGAGATACGTTTCTCTATCTGCAGTTTTTACAAATATAGAGGGTCACTATGATGTGAGAAATATGTATTCCGTGCAATAATATAATCACGATATAGAAATGAAAGAAAGTTATAGTGCTTAGAAGGAGGCAATTCCGGGAGAAAGACTAGTCTATTAGGAATAAAAGTCGTCGGYGGGTTCGAATCCCAGCGAGATCGTAAATTAATTTTCCGAATTTATTCCTAAGGTTCTTTCTCCCGGAATTGCCTCCTTCTAAGCAATATAACTTTCTTTCTTCTACATCGTGTCTATCTTAGTGCCATGCGATCCTCATATTCATATCTCTAAATTAATAATATAATCACTCATTTCATAAATAGCAATCATTGATACGCACAATCGAATTGTAGCCACAAAATTCGATGTTCATTACATGTTTGTATTGWTTATAGGTAAGGGAAAGTTGTCTACGTTCTATGGACCCTGGTCGCCATGTAGTGAGCTGTGTGGTCATGGTGGAATACAAACAAGAAACCGAACCTGCAGCCCTGAAAATAATAAGAAATGTTCTAGATATCCCAAACAAAAAATTCGCACCTGTAACTGCAGGAGCTGCCCAAGTAAGTATATGGCAACAAGGGTGCAAGTAGAAATAATGAGTTCCAATTTTAGCTGAACACACGCCGTCATTAAGAACTTAAAGGGCTACTTGGACGAAAATTGCGAAATATTAGAAAATACTTGGAAATCAAATAGACCTATCCATATGGGTCTAATAATCATGAAGCAACAGATTTCAAGAAGATATTGATACAAATCCTTAATAATTTGGCAAAAAATGTTGGAGTAAATGACGTTATTTTCCATCCTTTTGTTCTTCCATATTTTCAATCAAAATTTTCCCAACGTGGGATAATTCCAAAAACAAATATTTTCCCGCAATTGTTTTTAATAGATATAAATGAGTCATATATTCTTATTTCTTGAAGTTTTTAAATAAGTCCATTTTCATGCAAGTAGGACTTTAATCACATGCTAATTCTAATTATCTCACTATAAAACTGATAAAATACTGTGATAAATATAACGTAAGCACCCTTTCTTCAGTCTTAGAGTTTCGCCAGGAATGTTCATTTAAGGACGCTTTTRATTGTATTTTAGGTCCCTGTAGTTTCGACGGTACTCTGTTGCAACTGTTGAAAAATCTAACTGGAGTTTCACCGAACAATCACATGATTACAGCTTTCTCAGAAGTATATGACGGTAGGTACAGAAATTCATATTTCATATTTAGGGGTAGATATACACTTTATATTCCAGACAAGCACTTATCCAACTTTATCCAGTGGAAAATGCACGGGCTTTTCATTGAAAAATGACATACAAATGACTCCTGCTCGTTAATTGTGTAAAACAAGAATTTGTTTAAAAATATCTGCTGGAATTACAGCAAAAAACGTAAATATTGTCCATGACTAACCTCAAGTGTCAATCACACCTACTGGTCAACGATTGCATTTTGGGTTAATGCGTAAGCTTCATTATTGCTTCAGCCATGGATACCATCGGTTCCAAGCCCTTTGTCACTAACCTGAGCGACCATTTCCTGCTTGATCAGCTCAAGGCTTCATTTCAACGTAGTGGTTTCAGTGCATACGACAAAGACAAACATGCTAGAACCCTTTTGGGAGTGTTGCTTTATCGTCACCGTGGAAATATATGTGATTATACGAATATTATTCGGCAAGTCAAAGATGAAATTGGTGARGAAGAGTTTAAGGTAATATTTTGCTATCATACGTAGAACACGGCTTTATCTTTATCAGGGTCATGCTAGTATGCATGGCATTTCCAAATAAATGTTATCATCATTTCTGYAGAGCCTGATCAACGCGGATGGCAAAGTTACTCTAACTTTTGTCATTAACATCAGCTCCCGGAAAAGCAGAAAGCGAGTTATCCAAGAAGCAAGAGATATCGCCAAAAAAATCACTGGCTATCGATTTATCGCCAATGTTGACTATGTCCTGTCAGCATTCACCAAGGGTATGAACTATAATGTWTGCTGGGCAATGAGAGCTTATTCAAAAAGACTGTCGGAGAATTATATGTTTTCAATCACATGAAAAAAACAACACATTTTTGTGTGTGTCAGCTTTTAAAGGAAAGAAGAAAATTTTGTGAAGTGAAAAATTATTGAATCGAGCTTTTTTTCACTGCTGGAACTCACATTGTAGAGCTTACATATAAATACTTAATTTGCCAGTAGTCCCTTCTGTTATTAGTTTAGTTATAGCGATACCCAATGTGACGTAAGCTTTTGTTATTCATATGCCAATTCAGGAGACGATTGGTTGTTAGAACAAAGCGACTTATGAAAATTGTTGGCACGTTAACATAAGAATGAGTTTGTTGATAAGCATTGAGTATCGCTATTAGAGGAGTTACGTAAGATTAATTAAAGTGTTTATTTTTCATTCAGATACCACGGGTCAAAAGTGCACAGCTAGTGTTCAAACGTTCAATGATCTCAACGAATTCACGGAGGCTATCGAGAATCTCGCTAAGCAAGTACAGCAAGGAAATGACTGCACCAAATCAACTTACGCGTCGATCATTGAAGCAATAATTCAAGGCAATCCAAAACTTGGTTCCCCAATGTACGTATTCACAGATAGAGCACCCCACGTAAAGTCCTCTGGAGAGTTCACCAAAGATAAAGTCATATACCATGCACAAGAGAACAAGATGTCTGTCAACTTTTTCTTGTATAAATCTACGCGCTTATTGAAAACAAAATCCGATTATGAAGACATCGCCAAGTCGACTGGAGGTTTTTCCTTGTTCTTCACAAGCGCCACATCTATGAAAAATCTGGAACTAGCGGTGAAAGGGAGTCTGAATGGTACTTCTTTCATTGCCACCACTGAAAACCTTGAGGACAATTTCATGGTCAGACGAGATAATGATGACAAAAAGATCAGCTTTGATGTGAGTGAYATCGCTCATGTGGGAACAATTTTTATTGAAGTGACCGAAACGAATTCACTTTATTACAAAGACATTAAGCTCTACAATCCCAAGAACAAACTGGTGCGTACTGAAAGTCGACAGGGCAACAAAATCTTATGGGCCATTCTCAAACCGAACATAGGAACTTGGAAATTTAATCGGAAAACTAGTGTGGTGGTAAGATATACGAATTTATTTTTTTACGTTTGATGACATGAGCTAGCACGAATTTGAACGGGGACGGAGTGATCTTTTGTAAAAGATTCTTAAACGTCTAGAAATGTATGAGCTGAAGAGGCGAAAACTAAAGGAAAAAAAAAGGAAAGTAATCAGTTAAATGGCTATGTGTATACTAGCGAAGTCGGAATCCCAGCGAGATCGGAAATTAATTTTTCCGAATCTATTTCCAAGGGTCTTTCTCCTGGAATAACCTCCTTCTAAGCATTATAGCTTTCCTTTTTTTATGCATTATGTTTCTCATAGTGTCATGYGGTTTTATATTCATATGTGAAACTAGAACCTTTGTAATTGTTTCTTCAAAGTTGGCGGATCGATTTTCGTGGAGGAGAACATTGTGCAAAGGTTCATGGGTAGACGTGGACCTTTTTGTTGTGGTGTTTTTAGGTTAAGTCACAAACAGAGCTGGATATCAACTTTGAGGTGATGCTAAAGAGAAATGGAGACAATGTAGACTATACTTTGATAGGTGAGTATTTTTTATTTGGTTAAATTAATGCATAATAAACGTGGATATTCATTCTATGAGCTATACCTATCGTTCAATGAGTTCCATTTAAACAAAACTCAATTCATTCGATCCCACTTTTTCATTAACTTTAGGAGAGAAGGCCACAGTTGAAGTTACAATCTCGTTCATATCCCGACTAGAGAACGGCAGTTGGTATATTCCTAACTGGACGGTTAAGAAAGAAGACTGGCAAGATGAAAAAGAACCTAAGTTTATTTTAGAATCGAAGCAGCCTCTTGAAAACAAGTTAAAGATGGTTTTACATGGCAAAACCTTGTCCGGGTTTGCATTCTCTCGAGAGTCATCGCGTCTCATTGARCCTAAAATTGCAGTCATCAGGCCCCARATGTTTTCATGGAAGCCCTTAAAAAGTGGTAAGAAGTTCAAATATAAAGCCTTAATTGACCTGACAGCGACCATTGAACAGAGGGATTTTGAAATTGAAGTCAAAACTAAAACAACATCATCCGATTGGRTCACTAAAAGGAAAATACCCAGGACTCTCTCCAAAGGCGAGAACAAGTTCTCAGTGGATTTGACTGCTCCAAGAGACAGTGACATCATGATTGTGAAGATCGTGATGAAATACCCGGATGAGTCGGAAGACATTGGCGTCCAGAATGAAATAAAATTGAGAGTAGAGAAGTGATCTTTCCAAGTTGACGATTAGTATGAAACTAACTATAGTCTACAGAATCCACAAGAAAAAATATGTCTAATCGTTTGATGACCTATCGAAATGGACGCTTAGGATATAAATAATACTAAACTTGATTGTAGTATTATATTGTATGGAATCATGATATATATAACAAAGAATCACGGTTTAAATGTTAAAATTCAATAAATAATGGAATTATATATCACAATTTAATTCAATATCTTTCACCGTAGATTCTATCCTTAATCCAACCCAACCCCGCAAGAGATTCGGCCAAAACAAACATAACTGCTTAATCGCCTAATCAAAAATCAACAAAATCTTAATACAAATACTACTCATCCTTCATATGACATCAAGGCAAATCCTTAGAAGCGATACCCTCTTGTACCCTCAGTGGTTCGTTTCACCTACATTACAGACTTTTATAGATATTCTCTTAATCTCTCAGTAGGATTTTATGATAGATATATGCCAATGATATGCTTTTGAAGTGTTGTCATCCTTGTATCATACTGGTTCTTGTCGTTGCTATACTGTTTATGAATATAATGACACGCTTACCATTAATTTCGATAAAAATATTAAACAAAKTATCCTGGGATTAAACCTTCACTTACTACCGACCAAATAAAATAGATTTTCCTACCGAATATAATATAGGTAAGAACGGACGATGTTTAAAAAGCTTTAAATCTTAAGAAGAGGAAACAGCTTTCAAAAAAGATCAACATAGACGAGAACATATGCCTGCCTTAAAGCAAACAAAMAATAACTATTTAATACTTGGTTTTGATCTTGATGTAGAATCTTTGCTGATCTTTGCGACAGTTTCAGTTTACCAATGACAGCAAATTGACAATTACTGGTTGTCTTCAAAGTTAAAATCTTTTCAAGGGATTTTTATTAAACTTATTTATCTAATTACTACTCAAGAACATTTTAGCATCATCAAAAAAGGGAAAAAAAATCAGATGAATGCTTGATTTCAGTTTTAGTAAAAAAAAAACTTGTTTAAATTGTACTTTCCCATCATTACCAATGTTAATGATAGTGAAATTGTTTCTAAAAATATAATCAAAAACACAATTGCCCCAAAACTCTGCGTGGTATTACGAAACATTGGCGAAGGTGCATATCTCTTGGAACAGCTGTCTGTCTAGCGTTTGGTACCGCATTGGTGTCATTTTCTGCGGATACCATAAATCATACAACAGAGTCTTTTATTCGAGTCTTTCGGAGTCACTTTAATCATCTTCGTTATTGCGCAACCAAAAAATTATATTTCGCATTATTATTGCCATCATAAAATATTAAGCGGCAAATCAAAAGGGTGTTTCCTGTCTTCCTTCCTCCTGGCGTTTTGCTACAATCCATAACTCAAGGGTGTGAAGAAAAAGCCCTCTGTACTTGCACGTGGAATGAGATCGTCTCGATTTCCCCGAGAAAATGACTGGGCCATTTAAGGGCTGATATCACCTTTCTTAACGATTTACAAGGAGTGTTAATTGTACTCTTAAAAGGTTTTTTTTTCTTTCTTATTTAAGAGTTCTTGATATCCAGGATGAAGCGGGTCAGAACAGGTGGATCTCATCCTACCAAGTTGTTTGTAATATAGGTGTGTTTAGTTTGGTGTTTGCAAATAATGAAACTTTGGTTATTATACGAAAGTGTGCACGGTCTTCGACACTTGAACTTACCGCTTGCAGTTCTCTATACAAAAACAAATTGCTTTTTTTGTTCTCAAACTCAAATATAAATCCCTCAAAACTCGCGAAACGTCTTGAGTGGCGAAAGAGCACACGTTTAAGATAAACAAACATTGTTCGATGATCAGTATACTCTATAAATGCTTCTTTCTAGAGTGTTCCTGTTAACATAAAGCCATATTTTGTATACACGTTTGCAATCTTTGAGGCGGAAATACAGAACAATGCACAGCCAGAATTTATTATTTTGCAAGACTAAATATCACCAAATGAAAACTAAAATTCATTAGAAAAAGAAAGTCGTTTCTGAATGTATTAATTGTCACCTGTAAGTTGTGCATTTAACTAGGTAAATATCGTGTAAATAATCGATAAATATAATAAAAGCTAGTGTCACACTGGATTGGATTTTATTTWAAAAAACAAGCGACTATTCTATTATATTACTTAGCATAAGGTCGGGTTGCTTGATGGACGGACACCCCCAAAAGAGACATACAAGTTCTCAATTGTAATTAAGATTGTCATTACACTAATTATAAAAGTGCTCTCATTGGAACTGTCCACTGCAGACGACTGAGGAGCGTATGAAAGAGGTTGGTTAAGGTAAGATTACAAAGTTACTCTTTTTCAAGGAAACACGAATCTCTTTACGCCGTTCGCTTCTCTCTTTTTTACCATTTATTCTTCTCTATTTAATACAGCAATGCTTTTAACAACATCTCGCTGTCCCGTTGTGTGATATGGATACTGATTTCCAGAGGTTTAGCACTGATTTAATTGCGTCTGATAGTCTAAGAGTTTGAGCCGGGTTTTGTCTTCTCTTGTACAGTGCAGTTTGAGTTTGAGTGCAGGTACTTCAAAGATCTCAGTTCAAATATACATTCGCAGGTTTTACCATTTACAATAAGAGTTTTTGCGCCTGATAAATGTACCCAGTAAAAGAAGTTTGCAAAGGCTAGTCGCGCGCGCTGGAAAAAGGTTCGCGGAAGCCTTCTTTTTTGTCAAAGACAAATCCTTCTTTTTCTTCCTTTGAATCAAGCTTCAATCGGCACAGTGTTATAACTGTAATATATACCGAGGGAAATTAGTTCTTCCTAGTAGGATTTTAAAAGTTGAAAAACTCGCATTTGTAGTCATCACTTCAAGCTAATTCAAAGTATGATGATAATAAAGTTACTTTTTCCAACACAATCCCATCGGATAACACGATTAGATCAAAGGCAAATGACCACAAACTGTGTCATTGATGCTAATTGCCTTTACCTATGAAAAAATAAACGTTTCTCGATATAGCGTTACCTTACACAAGCATCAAGTGGAAAACAGCCGTGTAGATAGTATATCGTGATTTTAAACAGGTGAACAGTCAGACCGGAATTGCTAAACGTTGTTCTCAATTGCTTTAGGGGATCATTGTTACACTAGCAAGTCGTATCCATGGGTAACATTGCACGAGCAGGGTTTTCTCTAGATTGAACTGAAAAGATCCCTCTTTCAAGAATACAATAGAAGAGAAGAGAAAGAAAAAAAAAAAAAAAAAAACAAGACAAAATCATGCGAATATCCACCATGTAGAAAATTGCTAAATATTACACAAGTTGCCGCCTTTTTATTGAATTAGTCAGTTATTATTCATTCTTGATTGAATTTTATGAAACTATTAAAAGGTGCTAAATAACGATTTTCGTAGTCGTTATATAGCATTATCATTATTTAAAGGCGAATTTTCAATCTAATTGTCATTATCACAAAGCAATGAGAGCTTACTGAATACTAAGTCGATAGTCTACAAATAATTTGGAGAGCTCGCAGTGTGGGGGTTCTCTAGTTTTGTCAACATGAATTCTTATTTGAAAGCGCTTTGAAAATTTACACCGGGAAATTAAGTATTCAGTACAATTTTTAAAATTAGCATATTAGATTTACCAATAATCCTCGTTCTTTTGGGTCATTTATTTAGAGCTACATGTACAATTCAGTATCAACATCAATCTGAAATCCTGTATTTGCTCTCAATTTTGCTCTCAATCTCGCAAATGTTGTCAAACATGAATTTCTCAAAATGCTACAATGATTTTTTTTTACAGAAGTGTCATCCTGTCGTCATGGCGATCAAGAGTGTCTGCGTCATAATGCTGATGGGATGGATGTCCATATATGGAGCTATAGCACATCCTCATCATGGAGTTAAAGATAAAAGTATGAATGATTTGGGTGTTTCCATGTCTGTGTTTTAGGCTATTCATACTGTAAACGTACTCCGACCTCAGGATTCTGTTCGTACTGACCTTCAAATAATTAGAGATTTCATCGTAATAATAGCCCACTTCGTGGATAAACACAGCTATTAGAAATTGAGCAAATAACGAAAAACGATTACCACCACTGTGAAGAACAGTGTAAAATTATAATGTTTACCAGGTTTGAGCATGATTCGATGAAAATTCAAGGAGATACAGCGTTTAAAAGTCGGCAAAATTTACAAAGAAATGTATGGGCTGTCGGCATGATATCGAGGTTGACYTTGACTTGTTACAACCTCGCCAAACATTTCTAAGCAAAATTCAGTGTCTTTGAAGTGCCGTATCTCTTTRAATTTTAATCAGATTATTTTCAAACTTGGGAAATTTGCCTGATTGTATGACGCTCTTTCCAGTGATGTCAATGATTTACTATAACGACGCAATGTAAAATTTCGAATTATCCGCGAAATGGTGTAGATAAAAAGATATAGATTTTTGATTATCATACAGTTATCAATCTGGTTATCTAGAATGAATTGCCTTTCTAAAAAGCAACATGTGCTGATTTTGTTATGTTATGTTGTGTTGTGTTGTGTTATGTATTGTGTTTTGTTGTGTGTTATGTGTTATGTGTTGTGCTGTGTTGTATGTTATGTGTTGTGTGTTGTGCTGTGCTGTGTTGTTTTGTGATGTGTTGTGTTTTGCTGTGTTATATTGTGTTGTGTTGCATTGTGTTGTAATGTGTTGCGTTGTCCTTTTTTTGTGTTTTGTGTTGTGTTGCGTTGCGTTGTGTTTTGTTGAGTAGTGTTGTATTGTGTTTAAATGTGTTGACTATTCTAATAAAAGTCGACAAGAAGAAACAAGATAGTAATTTGCATTAACATCTTCGAAAAGAAATTTGGTTTTCTATGATATTTACACTCGTGCGATTCGACTGAAATGTTGATATATCATATCCAGAATGGCAAGCCCTTGGATGTTACAGAGACAATGCCGACCGTGCTTTGAAAATTCACATGGGAAACTCGAACTCCTCAGATCCTCTACAAATTATTCAAGATTGTGAGTCAATGGCGGAGTCTCAAGGTTTTGACTACTATGGAGTACAACACGATATCGAATGCTGGGGGTCTAATGATCCTAACGCTTATGATAAATATGGCTGCGCAAGCAACTGTAAAACATTAGTTCATGGACATGGTCCGGGATTTCTTGGAATAGGAGAAAACTGGGCGAACTTTGTTTATCACAAGAAGTCAGGTAATATCGAATTACTTTACTCCGTTTATTTGTTCTTTTATTTCTCATTTCTATCACTGAATAATTGATTAATCAAGGTTTCATCCATTCATTTATCATCCACTTCTCATTCTTAATCCATTCATTAAGTAAAAAATTCCTCAATTTATCCTCAATTTGTTCTATTCATTTATTCATTAATGAATTCTTCTTAAACCATTTATCTTATTAATCAAGCGTTCGAATTACTTTACTCCGTTCATTTGTTCTTTTATTTCTCAAGGTTTCATCCATTCATTTTTCAAACACTTTTCATTCTTAATCCATTAAGTGACAAAGAAATTCCTCAATTTATTAATTTCATTAATTGATTTATTCTTCTAAAACCATTATCCTGTTAATCAGGCGTTCCATATGTAATTATTGCTAATGAATCATCCTCCGAATCCAAGGATTATTTTTTCAGTGTAGGTATTTAACCCCCCCTTGATGATTATAAAACGATTCATGCATGGTATTTCTTTCTCTCAGAATGGTCATCATGCAAGTGTGCGAAGCGCCGGTATAAACTGGTCTTGAGACGTGATAAGCGACCAAACTGCCCAAAGTATAACAGAAAGGTTTTTCCCAAGAAAAATAAATCAAAAAAATGCCCCCCAACGACCTCAGCATGTCCAGGTTTGTCTAGTTCTACAACTGAAAATTCATATAAAAAAAAAACGTAACTGCATTTTTGATTGTTTCAGTTAATGGAGGTTGGTCTAAATTTGGGCCCTGGGGAACGTGTGATGAGCTTTGCGGTAATGGCGGAAAACAAAAGAGAACTCGTACCTGTACCAATCCTGAACCTGCAGACGGTGGAAATGACTGCGTGGGACAAGCAGAAGAATTTCGTGACTGTAACTTTGTAAACTGCCCAAGTAAGTATACACATCGAGTCGATGACTGTATGAGAGTAGGAGTACAGAGTTTGAGTAGTAATTCGAGTAGAAGAATAACAACAAAATTTACTGAAAAGAATACAATGAGGTATACTTTCACTGGAACAAGTCTTCCGAAAAGTTTGCCACTTTGCATATATTCCTGCATTATTCTAGATAATAATAATTACAGTATACAAATGTCACTAATTATCGAAATAACCTGATATTTTGGTACTGTATTTCAGAGCCGTGCAGTTTCGATGGCGCTCTGTTGCAGATCTTAAAGAAACTCGACCCCGGAATTGAACCCAACAACCATCTTATGACAGCGTTCGGTCAAGTAATGGGAGGTAGGAATTGATAATGATCCTTGCCTTGCTTGTACCAACAGTCTCTTGACATCAAAAGAAACAAACCTAAAGGCATTGAGGTGCACAATCATAGCTGTCGGCTATAATTAATGTAAAAGATAAGCTTCAAAGTCTGACTTGAAGAATGTATTTTAAAACTATTTCAATTTTACCCTAGTTATGGGTAATGCTGACCAGATTCCACCTGACTCGGCTCCAACCAGAGATTTCTTGATTGGGAAAATCAAGGCTGCACTTGAAGTGAACGGCAGAGAAGAGCATGCTCGGAATCTGCTGGGGGTTCTACTTGCACAACAAAAAGGCTGTCTTTATGGGGAAGTTGTTGATGAAGTCAAAGATAAAATTGGAAATGATGGATTTAAGGTAACTAAACTGTGAGGCTGTATTTCCTGGCTTTCAAACTTTGGACAGTATTAGGACTAACGTCTGTGGCCAACACGTCTTCCATCTTTTTACGGTGTAATGTATCCCTTATATGAACTACCGGTATTCTTAATAATAGTTAATCTCAGACAAGTTCTGTTTTACTGTTGATAAGTCAGTAAGTCAATATGTCATTTTATCATGCTGTATTATATCTCCGACATGTGTTACCATCAACATCAATGTAATGGGTTGCATTCTATGTAACGAAATAGAGCGAAGAATTGAAAGAAAAAATCATACGCGACTCTTGCCACAGTTTATAAATCTTTTTTGTTCATTTCCTTTTACAGAAACTGATCAACGCTGATGGAAATGTCACCCTGGCGTTTACACTAGACATAACGTATAGTATGTCCAATGTCATCAAAGAAGCCAAGACCATTGCTAAAGCTATCGCTGGGTATTCCAGGAAATATTCCGTTGACTACATCCTGTCAACTTTCAGTGAAACTCGTAAGTTTTCATTATCAGTTGATTGTCATTATACCTGTTATACGGCAATGCATTTGTATTGAATAGTCTATGCTTCTTCTTTGATACGATCACAATGACTTCAACCCGGTGTTTGTTTTTCTTCAATCAGTATATCATTTCTTCTATGGTCACGTAAAAAGGTTTGATTCACACGACAAGTTTATACAAGCTTTGGATGACGTTAAACTGTTTGGAGGTGGTGACTGTCCTGAGCCCACATACACTGGAATAATGAAAGCGATATCCAAAGGCTATCCAAAACCTGGTTCCCCGATGTACGTCTTCACAGATGCTCCACCCAAAGACCAAAACTCGTTCACAAGAGATCGGACCATACAACTTGCACGTGCAAACCAAATGCCTATTAATTTCCTTGTCACGGACGGGACTGGACCATGTCAAGACCAGATGCCTCAGCCACGAAACAGCCCTGATTACAAAGCGATTATACAAGCAACTGACGGCATTGGATTATGGTTTATCAATTCAACGTACATGAAAAAGCTTGAGCCAATTATTGAAGGAGGTCTTGATGGGACTACGACCATTACTAGTGGGAGTTGCAGCATTGCTGATGGGTCCATAAGCAAACGAGAACTGACCACTGCTAAAGATTTTGATGTCGATGATCTTGTAAGCACCATGACAGTAACAGCCGTCGGTTCATCTGGTATAAGGTCAGGTGTCAAGCTTTTCAATCCTAACGGTGTTGAACGAGATACAGAAATGRAMATTGGTGATACTGAAAAGATTTGGGTCGTTTATAAACCAACGGTGGGGAAATGGACCTTCAAGCTTGAAAACGTTTTTCAGTTTAAACATAAGGTATTTACTATAATAATAATAATTATTTTYCCCAAATGAAATAGAGCAAACGCAGAAAAACCATGAAATAAAACCCAAATAAATACTTACAAATAGCGGATATCTAGGAACAATTTGTCAATGTCAATCAACCAGAAAGCAATCAAGATGAATCCACACTGATGAGACTAATGTTTTGTGCGACAAAAAGCATACAATAAACCAATAAACTATGAATCGATCACAGCGTCATCTAGCGGACTAACAAAAGGGTTTTGCTCCATTTGGGAGCAACAATTTGGTAGCCGAGTAGCTCACATGGCACGCTAATCCTGTTGATTTGCCTTGCAGAAAGCACGCTCGGCAGAGTTCCCATAGTAGTATACAAATGCATGCATTATCATTCGTTTCTGGTCAGAGATCTTAAATCGTAATATTGACACTGCTGTTTKCAGGTGATATCGTCGACCACGCTGGATATTACGTTTACACCATCATTCTATAAAGACGCACAAAAAATTCCTCATCCCCTGATTGGTAGGTTACACTTTAAATACCAACTAATAATACACTTTGACAGAATCCGCTTTCACTTGAAGCTTATCATTAGATTTTTAARACTTTTTCTATTATRGCTATTGCTAAGACTTCCCAGACTTACACATACTATCACGACCAGAATGCTTTGCCCTCTTTCTTTTGCAATGCAATTAGTCTCTATTGTTTTGCTATTCTGCAAAGAGAATACAATTCTGTACTCTCTTCCAACYTGGGTGGGGTTGTGCCACTGGGACCTCAAAACCCTGACCCTGTTCCAGAGTAAAATCGAGCACTAGCCTGCTTGTAGGCCGAATTTTCAACCCGTGTATTTTTACCCAGCATCGCTATTTCCGGAATTAAACCCTTACCCTGTTCCAGAGAAAAATCGTTGAAATCGATACCCTGTTTCAAAGTAAAATCGCTAAAAACGATACCCTGGTTGGCGGCACGTCCCCGTATAGCGAATATAGGGGAGTAACCCCCCCACCCCCCCCTCCCCGGGCTTGAGTAGTGGTGGTAAATTGACGCCATAATGCGTATCGCCTATTTTMCAATTATTCATATATTTCAAACTTTAGGAGACAGAGTCAAGACAAAATTCGAGATTCCGAACAATTCTCGCCTGGACAGTTCCTCGTTGAAGTTTCAAGCCATAAGTCCTAATGAAATGCATCTAATGACCGYCAAGGRCGWAKACTACTTTGAATCAGCTCTACCTCAAGGAGACAACTTGAAGTTCAGGCTCAGCGGTAAAACMCTTTCCGGTTATGATTTCACACGGGAATCTGAAATATATTTCCCCAAGCATGCCCTTATGAGGTCGCTCTTGTCATCATGGGAKCTWTTTATGGAAGTTGGTAAACCATTTCAAGTTACAATTGYACTCGACTACACYGGWCCWGGTAGCAAGACGTTCACTATCAGAGTSAMGACTGCTCCATCAATCACAGTTAACAGTCCAAACTCTATCGCGATTGGAAGTGGTGAGAACAAASAGTTTGTTATCGAGCTGAAATCACATGTCCAAGGTCTTATTAAAGTAGCCGTTGAAGCAGAGAGTGGTGCGTTGAAGGTTAACTTAGACTTAGAGCTTCAGGCTAATTGAATGGAAGATAACAGGAAAAATACCCATTGAAACAAGACTGGTTCAAAATGCATGTGATATTGTAAATGAGAATAGAGATTAGATATACTGAATAGACATTCTAAAGATATTAAACGCCAGCATTGCAAATGAATAATGTTACGTTATAATTATTGGTTTTATTTGCAAACAATTATATGAGCAAACTCGCTCTCTTATTGGCTACTCTACTTCTAAATATATTGAATAAGAAAAGCTAAGAAAATTCAAAATGGCGACAAGATTTCCAGCCTAGATGAAGCGAAGACAAAATATATCTTCATTGATGAAAATTGATTATCATCCTTCATTCAGTAATTTCATTCATTCATTCAGTAATTTCATTCATTCATTCATTTCATTTCATTCTCTTCTCCTCCTTGAAAAGCTTTTTTCTGTAAGCTCGTCAAAAAAGTTAGATATCTTTTACTATACATAGTTAAGAGAAATTGGAGGAATCACTACAAAAAAGAATATTTCAAAAATTTAAAATTGCTCTTAATAGTATTTGAAAATATATTTTAGTTTTTCTTTGGATTTTGGTTTTAATCGGCAACCCACAAAACCGGTTTTAAACCGGTAACAATTAACTATTAGCCTTGTCAATTATCTAATTACGATCGAATTTAACTTTATGACGTCAGATATTACGTCACTCTTCTAGAGCCTTCTATTGAGGATGCATCATTGCGGAATCATGGCGAAAGAAAAACTTATTGACAAATGAAAATCTTCATATTATTTCTATTATTTGTGGCTGTGTGCAGCGCCACAGGTGTGCAGTCGGCAGGTAAGAGCTTTTAAAAATATTTTTGCCTTGAAATTCGAGAATTGCTTTACGTTTAGAATACCGCGCGCGCAGTTGATGCACGTGCAGATTTAAATTGTCTTTATTGCAAATGAATGGTTCATAAAGAAAAAGCTTTTAAAATCAAAGCGTTATCTATGGCTTGAAAGCTCTTTTYATTAAGTTTTAAACATTCATGATAGAAATTTGTTAAAGTACTTGTATAGACTACGAAATCGCCGCGAGCGAATAGAAAGAACAAAAGCAAGTGAAATATCGGTAACAGACGACACCAAGAAGATGAAGTACTCAAGAAGAAATCAAGTCTCCTTTTTTTGTCTAACTATTACCTAATTAGTCAAATATTGTGGTAAAAATTAATAAAATGTACAAAATGGTGTGGGTTGTTTCGCGCGCTTAACTTCACTGCGAGCTTGCTGATCCGAACAGGTTTTAACAGCGCTGAATAAAAGAGAAATACTTTACAAAGTCACAGAAAGATGTGAATCTTGAATCCAGCTTGATTAATATGAATATTTCACCAATACATGTGATTGCATGAMAAACTGCGGTAAACTAGTCGGGTTGAGCTATGATTGCATTATAAGTTTCAAAATGWATACACGATGCACGATGCAACATGAAAAATCYTTCGAAAAGAACAAAARRAGAAASTYGTTATGATTATCATATCATGTAACTCTGGTAATTATAGATTACAATTTAAATTTGCAATTATCAAATAGTTAAAAATGCCTTCTGATGCAAAGAGGAATTGTTTATATCACTCTTTACGCTCCTAATTTTAAAGAAACATTGAGAAAAGTTGAAATAAATAGTGTTCCAACAGCGAAGTAAACTTYTGCATCTCATTCTAAGTAAAAACAAACAAGACGATAATAAAAGGTTTTATTTCAGTCTATGAAGACCAAGASGCCKACGGCCAACGTGGTGTACATACAGTCATTGACAATGAATTCATTAACAGACATGTTAAACAGGTGAGACATGATTACACTTGTAGCCGCGCGTACAGGAACGCAGACGTTTAATCGAGTAGCTGAGCTGCTACCCAGGTTTGCTCGGTGAATAGGCTAGCAGATTAGCAGGAAATCTAGCTTGAAAGTAAGTATATATTGAAGATGTCGAGAAGCCATGCAGCAAGAATACGGTCAGCGAGTATAAACTAGCCGAGGAGCCGACCAGCGAGTCGGTAAGCTGACTGGTAAGTATGAGGCGCAAAGGGAAAGAAGGCTAGTTGGCAACGAGAAGATAAGCAGGCAAACAGATAAGGCGGCAAGCGGGCAGTTAGGTGAGAAGGTTAAGCTGGCAGGCAAACAGATAAGGCGGCAAGTGGGCAGGTAGGCCGTTGGAAGGTCAAGTAGACAGGCAGCAAGTTGGTTAGCAGTCATACGATGGCGAGAAAAATAAGACTATTGCAGCACATTTGGAAGCGTTACATTGAACACATATTTACTAATATCACTAACTAAAATATAGAATCATTCTTCAAAATGTCTCATTCACGTCTTACCTGAACGTCATTAGATAAATCCTGATCAGTCAGAGATTGTAACMGAACAACCAGATTACAACTCTTTGAACTCTGTCAACATTGGGGCAGGTTAGTAAAAATTATTGCTCGATTTGACTGCAAAAAAAATCACGCACTTTACATTCACATCAAATTTACATCATTTTGGACACTTACATAATATTTACATCAAATTTACAACCTTTTTAAAGGCTGATTTACACGATTGTCGCGCGACAATCACCATTTTGCTATTGCGCACTAAAATCATATGTGTAAACAGCCCTGCGATTATCGCGGAGATCGAAAATCGCCGCGAGTTCCAGCTAAATTTCAAGCAT